CACCTGGCTCCTGGCTTCAGATCAGCGCGGTACGCTGGCCACAGTGGCCATTGGAGGGTGAACCAATGGTAAAGGAAGACCTTTTTCTCTGTCTCTCTGTCTACTCTGCCTGTCAAAAAAAAAAAAAAAAAAAAAAAAAAAAAGCTAGGCTCTCAATTCTATTCCTTTGAGATGTTTTGAGGATGTGTCCTGGTTCTTCCTCCCAAGTACCCACACTTGGCTCTGTAGTAGGTTTGAGTAGGTAGGTTTTTGAAAATGAATCTTCCAAGCAGTGATGTTGGTTGGGATCAAGTGAAGGCAGAGACTGTCCTGGGAGATCCTCCCTTAAAGGCTCCCTTCCTGGGGCTGTTGCTGTAGCATAGTAGGCTAAGTCTCTGCCTGCAGTTCTGCATCCCATATGGGTGCCCGTTCAAGTCCCAACTGCTCCACTTCCAATCCAGCTCCCTGCTAATGGCCTGAGCCCAACTGCTTGGGCCCCTGTACCCACTTGGGAGACCTGGAAGAAGCTCCTGGCTCCTGGCTTCAGATAGGTCTAGCTCTGGCCATTGCGGCCATTAGGGAGTGAACCAGCGGATAGAAGACACCTCTCTCTCCATCTCTCCCTCTCTCTAACTCTGCCTCTTAAATAAATAAATAAATCTTTAAAAAGGGCTTTCTTCCTGGAATGTAATAAAGGCACCAGGTTCTGAATCAGATCTACCACTAAATTTCTTCTCATTCAGTCCTGACAACACTTTGAGCTAAGTGTTATTTTTATCATTTCCACTTCATTGACAGAGAAGAATATGCCAGACACCTCCCCCCTGCCCTTCCAGGCTGACATTCCAGTGCTCTCCACACACTCTGCTGCACAGTCCGGCCAGTGGTCCTCCACCCAGGGGCTACTTGCCCTATGGCTGCTGATTAGGTTTGGTAGAGGAGCCCCTGTAGATCAGAGGTAGATGGGGTGTGAGATCATGGCTTCTCTTCCCTACCTCACTTTTCAGTGACAATACCTCTGACCAGCCTGCACTGTTTTAGGAGGTCACAGCTCCTCTCAAAGCAGCTTGCTCTATACAACTCTCATTCCTCTGGGGTCTAGTGACATCATCCTTCCAAGACCCCTCCACACACAGGGAGGTGTAGCTCTTGGGCACTGTGGCTCATTCAAGTGAAATGATGGAGTTCTAACTAGATGAACGCCTTGAGAGCATCCTGGGCTCAATGGGCTCAGGAAAATTTGCCCTTGAAGAAGGCCTAAGGGAAGGGTCACGTGATAAGCCAATCTCTAGAAGCACTTTACTCCGAGGTCCTCTGCCAAGCCACCTAATGTGAACAGTAGTGGTAGATGGAGCAACTCCCAGGAACGAAGCGGAAAATATAATGGAGCTCTCAGAGGCGAAGTGCAAGTGCACGGCACTCTGCATCAAACTCTGCCTTGAAAGGCCAAATGGACTCTGCCAAGTTTGGAGACAATCTGCTCTTTCAAAGCAGGCTGAGAATGAGTGAAAGCCATAAGTCAAATGTCAAGGCAGCTTCTAGCGGAAGAGACCATTAGTGATACTTCTGAGACTTGTAGGTCTTGAGAACCTTATGAGTGATTCTGAAATTATCTGGACAGGATCCAAGTATCTGTTAGGAGACATGCTTTATAGACAAGGGAAGGCAACATCTATGCAGAGCTGGAAAAGTGCTGCAACTGCTTTATCTTCTTTCTACTTAGAGCCTTGAAATATTTAACCCTTTTATGTAGGAAAAAAATTCAGATATGTCAAGGAGTTTTGAGAATATTTCATTGAACTCCAACCTACCTTTTACACGGAGTCCCCCATTGTTCATATTTTGTCATGTTTGTTATTCATTCTCTCTCGGTAGATAAAGCTGAGCTATGTGAAATATATACACTATTATTTGTATTTGTATTTTTCATGCATTATATATATATATCTGCTGCATTTTTATTTTTCATATTTATCAGTATCATTATATTTGTTCATATTTTTATTTTTGAACATTTAGGAATAAATTGAAGAGAACAAGATCCTAAACCCTTAAATATTTCATATTTATCACCTAAGACAAAGGATATTCTCTTAGATAACTACAGTTCAAGGATAGCAATAGAGACATTTAACATATCTACAGTACTATTTTCTACCATACAGCTCATATTCAGGTTTTGCTAATTTCCCCAAAGCCATCCTTCATAGCATGTTTATTCCAAAGTCCAGGACCCAACCCCATCTCACCCGTTACCAGTGGCCGGTGAGTTCATCGGTCACGCTCAGGTCGTAAGACCTTCATAAAACCCCTAAACAATGGGCTTAGGGTGTTTACAAGTTGTTGAACCCACTGAGTTGGTGGGGGGAGAGCATCAAAGCCCCTCACCTGTCTCCCATTCTTTGCCCTACACATCTCTTCCATTCTGTCTGGTCCCGAGTGGGACCCCTTGACAATACATTGGCAATATTCAGTTTTGTGCCATCCTAACAAATCCTCAAACCTGAGTGGGTGGAGTGGTGTGGTAATTCTCAGTTTGCAGCCAAGTTGCACAGAAACACGGGTATCCTGAGGACCCAATACTTGCAGCTGGCATGTGAAGCAAGGGCAGTCTTGGGGGACTGAGCCCACAAACCTGCAAAGACCAACGCTAACTCTGAAAGGTTAGAGCTGAGTAGAATTACAGGGTACCCATCTGGCGCCTGGGGAGTTGGTGAACTGTTGGTATAGGAGAAAAAGCAGCTCACATTTGTGGTGTCAGAAGCATTGTGAGTACACACATCTGAGTATGTGATAAGCCCCCCTAAAGTGTGCTTCTTATCAGGTATTGAGAATGTTCCTGATTGACAGAGGCATAACTGAGAAACATTTCCAAGGGGGATGAATTTGGCAAAGACTGAAATTTGTTAGTTCTGTTTACATCTGGAGGGGGAGCATTTCACGTGCTCTGCTCTTGGCTTTCATGTTCTGATTTGGGTTTCCCCTGACTTGCTGGTCCAGGTAGAATGTCAACTGTACTCTCCCTCCTTCCTTCTCAGCCTCTCAATAGAGTCTGACCCAAGCCAGCTGTCAGCTTGCTTAGTGATTTGAAGGGGAAGAAGTAGGTTTGGGTGGAGGGCTCTGCTTCTATTTATGCTTGTTTAAACCATTGCTACCTCGCCGTTAGGAAGGCATATGACAGGTGCAGAGGAAGCAAATGTCAACAGTCATTTTGCCCCTTAACACCCAAATATGCACCTGCAGCCCAGGCCTCACCTCTGGGTCCAGCCCCACATCCGGGCAACTCCTGCCTGCAGCAGCTTTGCCCCTGTAGCGCACAGGCAACAGGCTCAGGCCAGACTCAGTTTCCCCACTCTCCCCATGAGCCTCCTCCCACAGATTGCCTTGAATGCACCAGCACATACTCTGTACACCTTCCTTCCCTCTCCCCTCACATAGGACCCATTGCCAAAGCCTAGTGACACCTCCTAACTCATCTCCTAAACATCGCTTCTGTCCAGCTCCCTCACGAACTTTGCCCACTCTTTGCCACTGGAGCCACCCTAACAGTTCCTTCTCATCAACACCTTCTCCCCCACATTTGTCTGCTTTCAGAAACCCAAGGTAGTTTTCCAAACCAAAAAGTGGATCCTATCTCTCCTTTGCTTAAGGGCCCTCCACAACCCATATGCTGTCACCTTGTAGGTGAAGACCAAAGTCATGGCTGTGGCTTCAAGACTCCCTCGCCCGGGATCTCCACTTCAGCCTCAACTCACTCCTTCTTTTTGCTCTCTACATTTTTCCTTATTTATTTTCATTTTATTTGAAAGAGGGAGAGAGAGTGCTGCCACCCCCTGGGTCACTCCCCAAATGCCCACATTTGGGGCTGAGCCAGGTCAACATCAGGAGCCAGGGAATCCATGTAGGCCTCTCACACGAGTGGCAGGGACCCACGTGCCTGGACTGTCACCTGCTGCCTCCCAGAATGCACATTAACGAGAAGCTGGCTGGGAAGCAGAGCTAGGACTTCAACTCAGCAGCTCACACATGGGCTGTGCACATCCCAGGCAGCATCTTCACCTCCGGGCTGACCGCTTACCATGACTCATTCCTGTCTGAGCTGTGCTTTGATGCGCCGGCCGCCGTGTCTGCTTTGAGTTCCTCAGACGTGCCACATGCACTCTTTTCTCGGGGTCTCAGTTCCTGTCCAGCACAATCTCCTGTATCCTCTGCGCTCTCTGGGTTCCCATCTCAGCTTGTCGCAGTCTGTTTCCTGCTGCTAATAACACAATACCACAGACTGGGCAAGTTATAAAGAACAGAGGTTTATACTGGCTCAAGGTCAAGGGGGCACATCTGGCCATGGCCTCCTTGCTAGCAGAGTCCCCAGATGGCCACGACGTGTATCACATGGCGACAGACAGGGAGCACATGTTTGTGTCTGCTCTGGCCTCTCTCCATCTTCTAACACAGCCACTAGGATCAGATCAAGGGGGCCTCCAGAAGCCCCTCCTCTGAGGATTCCATTTCTACCCTCTTACAGCCTCACAGAGGAGAGAAGCGCCAGCATGCGTTTCCAAGGGGACAGACCCTGTTCAAACCACAGCCACAGCTCAGCTCAGAGGTGCCAGCGCTCCTGTTACACTCTCCCAGGGGGTGTTGTGCACCTCCTTTGCAGCACCTGTCAGGGTCACAGCTCTGTCCTCATACACCTGCTTCTTCAGCGCTCATCTTCCTCTCTCCACTGTGCGAGGACAGGGACCAGGTCTGTTTCTCCTGGTTCTGTTTTCCAACTGAGTTCTCCGTGGTTGCACAGCAGGTACGCGATGCTCCATAAACACCTTTTGAAAAGGAAGGGATGACTGGCTGGCTGATCAGTCAATAGTCAGAGTCCAGATTCCTTTTATTCTGCTGGGGGAAATGACAGCAGTATTTTACGCTTTCCAAGAGAGTTTCATGAAGGTTCCAATTTTCCCACATCCTTGTCAACATGCATTATTTTCCAAGTGTGTGTGTGTATAAATTATAAATATGTGCATAAGGCGCCGGGGAGCGCAAAGGCAAGAAGGATGACAACGGAATCGGCACGGCCATCACCTTTGTGCTGTCCAATGCCCGGCTGGTGCGGGGGGTGGGTGGAGCAGCCATGCTGGGCATCGCCATGCTGTCGGTGAAGCAGATGTACGACCGGGCCATCAGTGCCCCTACCAGCCCTACCCGCCTGAGCCACTCAGGGAAGAGGGGCTGGGAAGAACCAACCTGGATGGGGTCCCCGCGCTTGCTGAACAGGGACATGAAGATGGGCCTGAGCCGCTCCCTGCAAACCCTCCCCACAGACGCCGCGGCCTTCGACGCAGGAGAAACTCCTTCCTCACTACCGGAACCGGGCAGCCATCCCTGCTGGCGAGCAGGCACGGGCCAAGCAAGCTGCCATGGACATATCCGCCGAGCTGCGGGGCTTCCTGCGGGCCAAGGTGCCTGACGTGCCGCTCTGGGACATGTACCTGAGTGGCAGCCTCTACGACGACCTGCAGGTGGTGACTGCCGACCACATCCAGCTCATCGTGCCCCTCGTGCTGGAGCAGAACCTGTGGTCGTGCATCCCAGGCGAGGACACCATCATGAACGTCCCCGGCTTCTGCCTCGTCCGCCGTGAGAACCCGGAGTACTTTCCTCGCGGCAGCAGTTACTGGGACCGGTGCGTCGTGGGGGGCTACCTCTCCCCAAAGGCAGTGGCCGACACGTTTGAGAAGGTGGTGGCCGGCTCCATCAACTGGCCGGCCATAGGGTCCCTCTTGGACTATGTGATCCGACCGGCTCCACCTCCAGAGGCCCTGACGCTGGAGGTGCAGTACGAGCGTGACAAGCATCTCGCCATTGACTTCCTGCCATCTGTGACCCTTGGCGACACTGTTCTGGTGGCCAGGCCACACCGGCTAGCCCAGCACGACAACCTGTGGCGGCTGAGCCTCCGTCCCGCCGAGGTGGCGCGCTTGAGAGCTCTGGACCAGGCTGACACGGGCTGCCAGGCCCTGTGCCTGAAGATTCTCAAGGCCATATACAAGTCCACGCCTGCACTGGGCCACCTCACTGCCAGCCAGCTCACCAACGTCATCCTCCACCTGGCCCAGGAGGAGGCCGACTGGTCTCCAGATGTGCTGGCCGACCACTTCCTGCAGTCCCCTGAGGGACTGATCAGCTACCAGGAGGCCAGGGTCCTGCCCAGTGCCCTCAACCCCAAGGTGAACTTGTTCTTGGAGCTCACCCCTGAGGAAATAGACGAATTGGGATACACTCTCTATTGCTCCTTGTCTGAGCCAGAGGTGCTGCTGCAGAGGTAGGGCGGTGAAGGCCAAGGCAGGTGTCGGGCGGCCAGGCCCTGGCTGTCCTGCACTTGGCTGCATAGCTGGTACCTTGCCGGGCCCCCAGGGGCCTCCTGGCTGCTGCTGCCCACCTGGCCACTTCATGCTGATGGGAATGCCATCTCTGGTCTCCTCGTTTCAATCCTACCCTTTCTATTTTTGTTACCAAACATTATGCTTCCTACTCCCCCCTTGCTGCAGGCAGATCTTTCTGGAATGAATTGAGAGGTAGAAGGCTGGTCTGAAAAATAAATAAATAAATAAATAAATATGTGCATAAACACACACACAATCACACACAATGTACAAGTTGAAGATTCCTTGTCCAAAATGCTTGAGACCAGGGATGTTCCAGATTTTGGAATATTTGCACATCCGTAATGAGCTGTTTTGGAGATGGGACCAAATCTGAACATGAAACTAATTTATAAACAGATGTACCTGATACATATAGCCTGAAGGTAATGTCATAGAGTATCTTTAGCTTGCTTGTATTTTGATTGTGACCTGTCAAGTGAGGTCAGATGGAGACTTCACCACTTGTGGCATCATAGTGGCACTCTCGTGTTTTGATTTGGGAGCATCTTGGATGGTAGATTTTGAGGTTAGGGACATTCAACCTGTGCATATCTCCATCATGCTGGATATGAAATTGTATCTCATTGTGGTTTCAATTTGTACTTTCTCAGGTGCTTATTGCCCAATTCTATATCTCTTTTGAAGAAACGTCTATTCAAAACCTTTTCCCACTTCTTAACTGGATTGCTTGCCTCTGTATGTTTGAGCTGTGTTCTTTATATATGCAGAATACCAGACCCTCATCAGATATATCAATGTACAAATATTTTAGATGAGCCTTTATCCATGTTTCCTCCTAAAATTCTGCTCAAATCAAGGCATAAAATAAAATTAGATTCACTCTAGATGAGAACAAGAAGCAAAAAGACCCCAGAGGTTCCTAAAACTCTTCTGAAGCGAGAAAGCCTTTGGAGGCACAGCCCCCAGCGTGGAGGGAGTCACAGCTCCATCACAGAAGGAAGGAGCGTCTGTCCTTCAGGATTCTGGAAAAGTCTAGAACTTTCAAAATACCCCATCTGCACAAGGTGGAGGGGCAAGGGAACAAGACATTAGCTTCTTCTATACACACAGTGGATGCATCCCGGGTCTTACTCACGGCCCACACAGACTCAAAATGCAAAAGACAGCCCTGCCCATCGACTGCACACTTGAGCATGCTTGTTAACTTAATCCCCTCAGAAACAGAAGATATATTTAATCCAAAACAATTTTGAAGGACAGAATATAATGGAAAAGAAGCAACGGAAAATATAAAAGCAGCCTTGAAATGTGTACCTAAAATTATGAAGCAGAATTAGAAGATTAAAATATAGGAACTCTCCCCATAGAAAAGAACAACAAGGAAATACAAATATGTATGATGAGGCAGCAAAGAAAATTAGAAACTTAACTCAGAATTCCAAAAAGGAAACTGAAAGGAAGGAGAAAGAAGGGAATAAAGAAATATTACAAGAAGAATTTCCAGTGATTTTTCTTTGAGACACAATAATCACTCAGTAAATGGGGGAGCAGGGGAAGATCCACATCAAGGTACATTAGGAATACAGAGAAAATTCTAAAAGCTTCCCGGGTGGGACAGAAACAGGTCCCAGATAAAGCAGTGGATGCTTCTGTGGCATTGAATATAAGCGCATAATGGAAGGCAGATGACAATAAAGCAATGAAAGTATGAGGAGGAATAATTTTGAATGGAGAAATTTGTATCTCTCAACTATTACAAGTTAGAAATAAAATATTTTCAGATAGCTACAAGCTCAAGAAATCTGCTAGACAACTGGTATTGGGAAGCTATTACAGAATGTGCATAATCAAAGCAAGGGAGAAGACAGAAAAGTAAAAGAGGATGCTATTAGACCCAACAAGCTGGAGAAAGAATCCAGAGGACCTTGGAGGGAAACGTGGAAACCCACAGGCAGACAAGAACAAAGAGGGAGCGAGAGCTAGGAAGAGAGGTCTCTAGAAAATCAGCAGAACTGACAGAGCATTGTATATGCTTGATCATTTAGAACATGTTATTCTTTTTTTTTAATTTTTTATTTATTTTTTTGACAGGCAGAGTGAACAGTGAGAGAGAAAGACAGAGAGGAAGGTCTTCCTTTGCTGTTGGTTCACCCTCCAATGGCCACCGCAGCCGGTGCGCTATGGCAGGTACACCGTGCCGATCCAATGGCAGGAGCCAGGTACTTATCCTGGTCTCCCATGGGGTGCAGGGCCCAAGCACTTGGGCCATCCTCCACTGCACTCCCTGGCCACAGCAGAGAGCTGGCCTGGAAGAGGGGCAACCGGGACAGAATCCGGCGCCCCGACCGGGACTAGAACCCAGTGTGCCGGCGCCGCAAGGCGGAGGATTAGCCTAGTGAGCCACGGCACCAGCCGTCATTTAGAACATGTTATTCAAAGGCACTGAAAAATTGGGAGGAAAGGCAGAAATAAGTACACAAAACTTGAAGTAAATGGGAAAAGTAGAGGCAATGATCAACTCCAGGAAAAACAAAAGCTTGCACAAGAGGTGAACAGATGACAATGTCTCTCTGCCTCAGCAGTGACCAATATTTACAGTCATAATAATGTAATCAGTGGCTGCTTGTGTCACTCCTGAAACAAACTATCAGAAGAAAAGGCAAAATGGTAAGGGAGTGGGGGGAAGGGGAGAAGAGTGTGTTATAAAATGTTAAACCCTCATGTAATCTAACAGGAAGTCAATAGATGGTTTCTAATACTGATAAGCCAAGAAACTGCATCATAAGTGTGTTTAGAACCAGCAAGGTGAAGTCTCAGGATGAACAACTGAACTAAGTGTTTGCTCTGGGGAGTGGACTTGGGGGTTGGTAATGGGGAGGGAAGGAACCAGTGCTTTTTGTTGCCACACTTGTAGTATGATTTCACTTACCAAAAAAAAAAAAAAAAATTGAAAACCAACCACAAAACCATAAGGAGGCTCCTTCTGAACCATGTGCTGTGAAACCAAGAATGGAAAATTTCCCATCCATTTACCTGAGAGAGAAGTGACCGTGACATTTGTCTTCCCACAAGATTTTAGCCATCTAAGGTTTTTAAGTCCCCACATCATACCCTCCTCCACCTGCCTTTGTGAAAACCTTAGCTCTTTAGAGAAGAGAGAGAGAGAGAGAGAGAGAGAGAGAGAGAGAGAGAGACAAGCTCGTGGAACTCCAAATAGCTCAGATGGGAAAAATCACAGCCCAAAGCACATATTTATTTGTATCACAGAAAAATCCTCAGATTGGGTTGGAGAAACTTAAAATCATTAGTGTCTACATTAGTGTCAAATGTGTTATTCGCAGTGTTTTCTGGTGGAGTAGCACATGTTTCAGAAATAAGTGGGAGACCAAAAGGAGGGAGCCAGAAAGCCAGGAAGTGTGACTCAGACATTTGCTTTTAAGTTTAATTAGTCAGCCAGCCCTGCCAATTTACTTCTCGGAAGAGGAAGCTCATCTCATCCCTTCATTCTTCTAAGATGGTTCAAGTTAGTCTCGCCCAACAAGTGAGCTGCTTTGTTGCTGTTGCAAATCTAGGGAGACCTCAGTGCTTTGTGCTAGTTCCCATCAGAGCTGCCCACCAGGCAGCACAACCTCTATCCTCACACCCCTACCTAGGACTCTCCAATGCCACTGGATTTCGAAAAGCTAATCCAAGTCCCAGAAGGTTGCTAAAAGAAATGATGGTGTGTATATATTGGCTCAGAAACAGAACTGCAAAGTGCTTTCCAGTGAGGAGACTGCAGAAAAGATGCACAGAAGTGCAGACCAAATGTGATTCAATAAGCATTTATCGGATGCTGACTGCCTGCTGGGATAACGCAAGGATGGAGAACTGGAACTGGCCCTCAGTTACCTCTTGACACTGGATTACAACTCTGGTCCCAGACTCCTCTGTTCTACCCCACAGCACGGGGACAGCTCCACGCTGTCTCCTGGGCAGGACAGAAAATGAAATGACTTGGCTATTTTTTTCTGGCTTGGGGTTCTCATCTACTGTATTTTTCAAACATGATCCATTGAAAGCCAGGAAAAAAATCCATTGAGGCATCAGTTTTGACAAGGGAGTGGAGGCCACAAATCCTAGGATGTAAACCATATGAATTATAAGATGGTGTTTACTGGTAGGAAGGATAATGTTGGCCATAGCTTTAAGAATACAGCAATTGTTACAGAGAGAAGGGGTACAGAATCCAGCAAAAGTCATGGGAGTGTGTGTGTGTGTGTGTGTGTTGAGGGTCTGTGCAGTTACTCCTTTCAAAATACTGCTTTGTTTGTTTTGAAGAAACATAAAGTGACCTTTGTTTTATGTATTTTTATTTTCAATTGACATATAAAAATTGCACAGATTCATTGGTGATGGTATTTTAACCAATGCCTTTAGGAAGAATTCATCTGAGTCCTCAAACCATATAGATGCAGAGGATTTGTTTAATTAAGTTTCCTAGGCCTTAGAGTGTCCCATGTGGGTTCTCTCTCACTTCCCATTCTCATTGCTCAAACCCCCTCCACTTGCACATTTTCTCTGTAAGCCCATTCTCTCCCCCTCCCATAGGAGCTGCCACCCTCTTCCACCCAATACAAAGTCCCAGGGGCAGCCTTCAGCATATGTCACTTAGATATCAGTGGTGTCCCTTTTGTATAGGGCTATAAAGAGGGGGCAGGGTCTTCAAAAAACTTATGGACAATGTGGATTATGAAAAAGCTTTGCATGGATTTCAATTTTTTGCAATAAAATAAACTCTTTTGATTCCACTTTCCATAAATGTTTTGAAGTACCCTCACATTCTGGGTCTTTGTTGGGAGGGAGGTGGTGAGAATCCTTACAAGGATGGCTGCAGCCCAGCCATAGCCAATGAGACCCTTCATTGCCTCCAGACATTTATGTTCCCAGAACATGCCACTGCATAGTTTTGCCTC